CAGGAGAGTAGTGTACCACGCCAAAATATTGAGGAATAGATATTTTGTAATTATATAAGAGATAATAATAAAAAAAATATCATACAGAATATCGTTTACATTACTACACCTTAAACTCGCTTATGAAAAGTTTAACATCTTCATCAAAAAAGTTATTTTTTTTTAAGGAAAATTTCTCAGGCCACAAATTAAAGGATCTGAGGTTACTAAAAACTTTTGTAAAATATCCTACATATCCTCGGCGTTGGTGAGAAGAAAACATTAAATTTGTTTAATGAAAATGATTCAAAAGACAAAGAATATAGGTACACGATAAAAAAAAATCTCACTTTTTTGTATTAGTTTTAATGTCTATGTATATATCAGTACACTTTTTTTATCTTGTTTTAATAAAAAAAAGAGGTTTGTCCTGATAGTATTAGAATCTGCCGCACTGTCTGCCGTCTTAAATAGCGAACCCAGAATGAGACGCCTATGTGATTAAAACCAATTATTTGAACGCGATTAAAATGTCCGGTCTTTAGTTATGATGTTTTATTTCCCGTTTTCTGGCTAATTTTAACATGTTCTTCTATGGCCTTTTACACATTAAGCATGTTTTCACCATATTATTAGAGATAATAAATCTTAAATATACATTTAAAAGCCTTACAAGGCCTTGTATATAATTATATTTTTCGTAAAATACAAATCAAAAATTTACATGTGTCAGAACTCTCACTGTCAAACTTGGCAACGCTGATTAAATAAGTCAATTACAGAATAGGTAATTTCCCCCCTCGGGGGGGAGTAGATGTTGCTAACAAAATTTAGCGTGGGGAAGGGGGAAGACTCCCTCTAGTGGTATTTGCTCGGAGGTAAGGTTCACTTTTCAAAACACATATTCTCGTATTATCATCCGCGCATGCGTAAGCAATGATATACTTGGAATAGGGGGGTTCTCGCAAAAGTAAAAACGGGAATGTTTAAGATATACAATTTACGGGAGTTCTTGCAAATGTTTACAGGTGGAAATCAACTTGAACTAAAAATTCTTATAATAAAACAATAGCAAAATCTAGTGACTTTGTCACAACTGGATGTTCTATTTAAAATAACGGAGTTTTATGAGTTTAAAACTACGTGTAATAATTATTCTTTCTTAAACAACCTGTACAATATTTTGAACTTACACTCTATACGACTCTAAATTTACCTTTAAAAAATCAATTAAAAATATTAAGAAATTTAGGACATATTGGCACTTGGATATATCAAAAATCTTAAGACTGACTATTTTTCTTCGTAGATTTAAAAAATGCAACAAAACAAATCACACCTCCTAGTTTTGGTTCTACAGACCGAAACCTTACTGGTGACCCAACCTCTATAAGTATCTAGAAATATGACTGCTAATTTTCCTCTTGACGTATACTTCAAGTATACCTTTCAAGAACCGAGTAAAGTATACACGTGGCTAGCATAAGTATTTTCGAAAACATCAATTTACTGATAATCAATATTTTATAAATAGGTATGAAACTGCGATTATTTTCAATTTGAATTCCTATAATATCTTTATTTTTAATTTAGAGATTTGTATTAAAACAATACCTACTCGTATAGCTTAGGTACCTTCTTTTTAAATTAGATAAAAGTTAATGTCTAAAAAAATTAAAAACCTTCATGTTAACCGTGACATAAAATTAATTATTATCTCCTGTAGCATGTAGTTAGGTATATTACGGTTATAATAGCTTTCGAAGGTTGACGGTACTTCAAGGTTGGCATAGAAAACATATTTTTTATTTAAAAATAACATACTTTCAAGCTACAAATCTAGAACTACAATTTTGGCACGTATTTATCTGGGTAATGGCATTAAATTACTAAGTTTATATAAATCCACGTGTAAATACAAAGTCTATATTAGGAAATATTAAATAATAAAATGATAAGCGATATGGTATACCTGGTGTCACATCTGTTTCTAGCCAAGTAATAATATCGAAGAGTTATTTGACAAGTTAAACATTTTTTTTTATTTATGGTGTGTTTTGGATTATAAAATATTTTTACAGAATAAACTCAAATCAGCAACGCCTTGTCAAACTACCTTTAACGTTTATCTTTCAAATTACCTCGCAGTTATTATTATTTTTTGAGATAATAGTTGTTAATCTTGTGAATTCTCATAATTTTCAAAAGTACTTTAAGACGTAAGGTTGTTATTTTTCTGATATTAATAAGCTATCCAAGATGGCAGTCATCGTTGACATGAACAAGTATAGGTTATCGAAAAATATACACGGGAAACTAAATAACAACCAGAAGGGCTATTATTGGCCAGAATCTAATGTGAAAACGGAGGAGTGGGGGAAATTACATGTAGAAAAAAATCGTGTGGAGTGGCAAAGCCAAAAGGACATTAATGTATATCTCTGCTATTATTGGTCCGAATCTAATGAGAAAAGCAGAGGAGTAGGGGAAAATGAGATACTGATATAATATACGAAAGTTAATGCGCAGCGAAAAAAAGTCAACAATGACATATATTAATATTTTTTCATTATCCAATATTGGCTTTTGCCATGCACGTTAACTTTTGATGTTAAGTTTGACACGACGTTAAGACAGCTACTAGCAGACGGCACTTTGTCAATTAGCGTGAGGTTTGACGTTATGTTTGACGTAACAACACCCGCTAACAAATATATACACTAAGGTCCTTTTGATAATGCTTTTTTATTGTAAATGACAGTGCAAGTTAAACATATTTCTATAAATTTCTATGAATTTCTATGAATTTCTATGAATTTCTATGAATTTCTATGAATTTCTATGAATTTATATGAATTTCTATGAATTTCTATGAATTTCTATGATTTTCTATGAATTTCTATGAATTTCTATGAATTTTTATGAATTTCTATGAATTTCTACCAATTTCTACGAATTTCTATGAATTACTATGAATTTCTATGAATTTCTATGAATTTCTATAAATTTCTATAAATTTCTATAAATTTATATGAATTTATATATCTATAATATTCTTAACAATGCTGCTGCGCATGAGTACTTGTAAATGACTGCTGAATGACAGTTCAAGTTGACTGCTCTTTGTCGTATCGATCCAATAAAAACAAAGATAAAAATTAATGCCTTTTTGACTTTGTCGCTGCGCATTAGCTGTCATATATTACAAAGAAAGTCCCACTCTTTGGGTTCTCGCTTATATCTCAAAAACGGTGCATCGTAGATAAAAATTTTTTGTAGCAAATCAAAGCTCATGAAATATTTTCTATAACTTTTATTTTATACACTTTTTTCAAATTCCCAACCGATTTCGACTGCTGAAAAGTTAAAACTTTCGAAAAAAAAATGTACCTCACATTCTTCGAACATTCTTTCATATCGTCCAAACTATTCCTCTGAGAAAGAAATTATCTTGGAGGAAGTTTTATAAAATTTAATTCTCTTCAAGAATATGTACATACAGGGTGTGTGTTTCAAAAGGAATGGTAAATATTTTAACCATAAGTATAGAACCTCAAAATATTAATATTTGGCTAAATAACACTGCTTCTGACATAAATGTAAATGTAATGTTTCATTATTATTTAACATATTGACTTGAAATTTGGTATAACTTTTGGACTATTAAATCATTAGCATATTATGAATTTTGAGATCAGACACACTGAAAAATCTTAAAATTGGTGTACATAGTTCATTTGTTTCGTTTTGATGTAGAAGGTTGTACTTTTTTATAGAATCTTTAAAACAAAACAATGTTTTGTATATGTACCTATAATTATTTTAATTATACTTAGATTAATAATATCAATACATGGTTCAGAATGTCAAGGCCAAATTCTAGTACATACATCTTGTGTCTTATTTTTTTTAAATGGTTTCTTAGTACACCATTTAAGTCTAGATAAATATGCATCTAGCTTACGCTTAATTGACTTATTTAAAATAATATAAGAATTAACAAGATGACAAAAAGTTCTAATAGTTTTTTTACTGAATAAAAAAAAATAAAATAATGTTTTTATGTAATGAATTGCTGTGAAGTGAAAAAAATGACTTTTAACTATCAAATTGCTTCAATTATAAATAGGAAATTTTGTATAATTATTTTAAAAAATACACTTTAAACAATTTGATTACTTTAATTAATATTTATTCCTTTCATCAACTAATTTATTTGTAATTAAAACTACACTGATTTATGTTTACTTTATCAATTTATCTTTACTCGTCAATGTTTATCTCTAAACTAACTAAATAAAGGCAAAATAATCCATTTATATACAAAAAATTACGTCCTAGACAAATCAAGTCCTGTCTCGTAGAAACTAGATGCTGTAGACGTTCTCGAATCCCTTCCTCTACGAATCTGCGTACAAAAGAACTTTCCAGTAACTTCTCGACAATTTTTTTCTAAATAAAAATTAGTTTTTCATACGCCTTCAATTTATGGAAAATAAATATATAAATAATAAGCAAAAACTAAACTAATAATTAATATTGATAAATTTATTAACAAAAAAGCATCTATTACACATTAAATCACGAAACATAAAGATAACAAATATCTTAAATTAAACTAAAGGAAAAAAGGAACAAGAAATAAAAGTTGTTAGACATGTTTATATGTATAGTTAAAAATTTAATGTAAACACAGTTTTATTAATAAATAATTACGACATGGTTTAGTATAAAGCTCAATAATTGGTAAACATCGCAACTTCCAATTTTCCAAAATCACAAAATTTTACGATTTTGAAAAAATACACGATAGTATCTTAAACCTAGTACCTAATATACAGGTATAGCACACTATTGACTCCTTTGGAGAATAACCTACAAATTGAAGCCGTATATACTGACTTTTAAAACACATTTAACAGGGTAAATCATCAGCTGTTTGTATCTTAAACTGATGCCAATAGTATTTAGTAAAAAATGTTGAAAATGTATCTAATATTAGTGTTTTTTATTGCTTGCAGGGCAGCAACATAATGAACACGGCAGAAGCAAACAACATCGGTACACAACAAATTCCAGAAGCAAGTGAAAGCCTGTTCGGTCCATTCGACATCATACTACTAGCGCTAATCGTCGGAGGAATCAGTTGGTATCTCTTGGGAAAACATAAAAAGACAACGTCAATAGCAAATGGCAGATCATACTCCATTCAGTAAGTACTAATGACAATACTAGAATCTTAACCCATGCGATCATCATTCTTAAAATGCTAAATTTTGTAATTTAAGGTTAGAAAATTATTATTAATTGTAGATAAATTGTATTAAAAAAATATATTATTACGGGGGTACCCAACAAGTTTGTAGTGCTTGATTATTGATTTTTAACAAAATTTTATACTCGATAAAAGTTGGTTTAGCGTCTAAAACAGAAAATGCAACAAAAAAAATTTCATATACAGAGAATCACAAAAGCTAAACTATGATTTTCGTTCAAGACGAAAATATCGAAACAAGTTATTTAGAAAAGTTGTTAAGAATTGAATTATAATCGATTTTTTTCTGTCATTTTATTGCTATTTAAACAAACAACAATAAAATAAAATTGTCACGAGTTTGGATCGAAAATGACCTCCAATGAGCTACACGATAGTTTAAAGTACGCCTGAGTATTATAGAAATACAATAAAACTGATTTTATCTATCTTTTTTTAACCGTTTCCTACGTTTTTATAACTACTTCCTTTGTTTTTATTATATTTTCTCATTACTTAGATGTATACATATTAATTATAAATTCAGGTAACTCTTGTGGCAAGTGGTACTATTAACAATTTTTGGTATTCATTTTTCACCAAAATTTGGTGCTTAATTTTGGCACAGATATTTTGAAAATCTAGACCGCATTCAATATAGACCAGTATTTCTAAACCTGAATTCCTTAGAAAGGTGTTTGGGGTTCCGTGTTAAGAGGTCAATAAAATAAAGAAAATATAAATACTACTAAAAAATGTGAAAAAATATTCGTAGAACTCACTCTAGTGATTTATTAAGGCTCGTTTAAAAAAAATACAAATTTGGGAATCCTGTATAAACAAAGGTATAGTCCTTCCATTATCAATTGCAGAACACAGTTATGTGGGGAATCATCAATATTTAATATATACGCATATATGCCAAATTAAGAAACGAAAAATAATGTTTACTCCCCTTATACAAAGCGGTAAATATTAAACGAACCATCAGTTGTTTACTTAACTGCACTGTATTGGCCGAAGGTTTACGGAAGGCAGGTGTTCGAAAATATTCCTGGAAGACAGTCTGCGATATCAGTGGAGTACTGTCGTGCGGTGTGTTTTGTATGTGTGGTTGGTTTAATTTAAATTTCTTTTAATAAATATAAAAATGGCGTTCTTTAGTCCATGGGCGAATGAAGAAAATGAAATTGCACAGTGTAGTGAGATTAAAGACAGGTATGACTTTAACGATAAGGATTTAGATATACAAACACAACAAGTTATTTTAAATATATTCGAATGTTTAAAAAAGGAAAATATTCAGCAGTCTGATAATGCGTTCATAATAACAATTGCTGAATTAACTAAAGTAAATAAATTTTCCGTTTATCCGGTAGTCACGAAAGGGGTTGCTGTGGATTATTCATAAAACCGAAAAACATGTAAAGAAAAACTGAAATCAGTTGACAGAGCTACCCAAGATTTTATACGAAGGACAATTTATAGTTTATATAAGGAGAACAGGGTTCCGACATTGCAAGTAATACAGCAAAAGGTGGCAGATTTTCCAGGATACACTTATACCAGTTTGGAAACATTGCGTCAAGTTTTGCCAGCATGTGGTTTTAAACACAAAAAATTGAATAAACAGATGGCAATCACCGAATCGTCAAGGATAGTTCAATGGCGACAAGATTATTTGCGTCAGATAAGAGGCTACAGAAGTTCTAATAGACACATAATTTATCTAGATGAAACATGGTTTGACAGTCACGATGTAGTAAATTTCGGTTGGGTTGGCAGTAGTAAAAATTGCTGTTTGAATGGGCCATGTTCTAAAGGGAAACGCATTATAATAGTACACGCTGGAAACTATAAAGTTAGAAAAAATTTATTATATTGACAAGCTGTGCAAACTCTTCTCAGACTACCTCCTTACTATTGCATATTTAACCCTATAGAGTTAATATTGGCAAACTTAAAATCAGAATTACGAAAATGTAATCAGTCTCCAGAACTGAGTAAAGAAGTTGTAGAACTCGTAAAGAAAGTTCTAGCAGTAGACCGCCAAGAGCTTTGGAAAAACTGTGTTGAACATGTTATCAAAGAAGAAGATGAGTATGTAGTATTACCCTCTTTACAACCCATCATAATTCAACCAAATGATGACTCTAGTTCAGAGGATTCAGACTGCCATGATTATTTATAAAGATACTTTAGAATTGAATTGTTTTTTTCTTTTGTTTTATTTGCAAAGAATTTATTTTCCTTTATGGTTTTTTTTTTTGAAATTTCGTTTTCCAGAAAAAGAACGAATGGGGTACAAAAAGGGTTCAGTTCACGTCTGGTACCCTGTTTAAACCAAATGCCCTTACAGGCAGGTACACTTTACTCGCTTTTTTACGTTTTATAATTTAATATTCAGTTGTAGCAAGTTAACGAGCTATAATGATTTTTTTTAAGTCCAAGTAAGATTACAATTAAGTTCATTTGTCTAAATAAGGGCGTATAATAACGTCCAATTTATAATTATTCGATTTCCTTTTAACGAATACTTTCTTGCATACGATATATATTAAAAGTATTAATAAAATAAATTTATAAAATGAGGTAAGTATCTACGCCTATGGCAGATCAAACAAAATTGTCGGTAAAAGTTCCGAACGAATTTTTATGATCTGCAATTGATAATGGAAGAACTATATCCATAATTTTGTATCCCAGTCAAAGACTCCACCTTCATCCCAGATAATTACACATTCTTAGCATATTCTTAGTATATACTTGTTAAGAATTCGCATATGCTGAGAATATACTTTATTTGCATTTAGTACATTATCAGAATATATTAAGTATTATGTTACAGGACGTCATTTATACTTGTTATGCAGATACTGAGAATGTACTTCAAGTATGTGTACAGTATGCAATAAGTATTTAAATTTAGCATATACTAGTCATATACTAGATACCTTAATACAGGATGATTAATTAATATGGAACATTAAAGAATAAGTGTATATAATGAAAATCGTGAACATTTTTTAAATCTTTATTTTCAAAAATTCATACTTGAGTTTCATTTGCTTGCTTCCATTGGATCTTCATTGAATCTAAAAAAATAAAAAAAATCAACATACTTGGTACATATACAAATTAAGTGTACATAACTAATGGGATATTTTAAATATTTTTGTCGAACGTAAAACATAAAAAAATGTATATAGCATTCTACATTTTTGTTAATTACTTTCACCACCATTTTGTAGTTTTCGTCCTCCTTTAGCTAATTTTCTAGTTCTTCCAGGTTAATTTCTGGCCTTACAGGATTCTTTTTATTTATGTAAACCTTCGTGAGCCTGTGGAACCATTTCAATTTCCAAAATTTTGTTAAAATTGTTCCATAAACAATGAAGAAAATTAAAGTGATCCAGGGTTCTACAAAAGGTTGAAAAACACTGCTATAGACCATGACACAATCCAGTGTCTCTATCTAACCATTAAAAAATCCACTTATTACATAAGCAAGCAGCATTTTACGATGATGAGGAGATAAATTTATTTCACATTGCATTTTATTACACCTAAAAGAAATGCGTAATAGAGATCGAGGTCATTATTTTTTATTTTGTACTGCACATTTAATCAAATTGCTCAACGTACTAATATTAGCTTTGATTATTTAAATCAGTGCTTCCCAAACGGTGGTTCGCGATAAAACATTCTTCCACTTCTATTTCCTGTAAATCAAATAAAACAAGAGTTTCGTTAACGAATAACATATCGTCTTGTGTAGCTGATATTCTAAAATGATTTAAAGCTGTCTTCAGACGGTGCAACCATTTCTAGAGAAAGACAGTATGTTGCATATTCTTTACTTCATGTAAATCAAGCGAACCAAGACTTTTCCGAAAAAACGTCTGCTTTTGTGTATCTGATATTCTTAATAAGAAATATCTTCACACGACCCCGTGCCACTCATTTCTAGATAAATGCATTATGTTGCAGTTATTGGCATTTAGAGACAATTTGTTAGCAACCTACCAAGCATTTATGTTGTAGAGAGTGACAGTCATTCAAATTTTTATTGGTGTGAAATAGTTTTAAATCGTTAAATATTTTACATCATTATTAGTTACGATTATCGTTAATAAAAATGTTAAAGGGAAGAGGACCCAGAATAGAGCTCTGAGGAACTCCGGAAATTTGAGAAAATAAATGTGATTTGAGAACCAGACATTGAACAAATTGGTTGCGACCAGTTACATAGGATTTTATGACAGTCATTAGTTGTTCAATACAATAAAAAACTGCTCCTCATATTATATAACATAATAATATTCTAATTTAATGTCAATATTATTGAGTTCACGTTCAGATGTATCTGGATATTCATTGTTTTCGTCAGTTGCAAACATTTCTGATTCGTCTGTTTTATCATACACAATTGATACATCTTCTAATGTTGAAGTGTCTTCATCTAAAGGTCTCCTTTTTGATAGATTTTTGTTTTTTGTATTCTTTGCTTTAATCTCCTTGATTTTCTACAATATTTTTTGTTCTCTTTCCTGTTTTTGCTTTTCTTTTTCTTGATCTTTTTGTAATTTTTCCTGTTCTCTTTTGGCATAGTATTTCTTCCACTCTTTAGATGTCACAACTGACTTCACTTTAGTGGCTTTTGTAACTGAAACCGTCAATGGCCTTTGAAAACGGATATTCGTGCTAGAAGCTACTGATTGACCTGTTTGTTGAACACTGAGAGTATTTTTTTTCCGGGGTTTGTTGCACTATAACTACATTGGCTGTTGCTGATAAATTTTCAGATTTATCTACTTCTTTTGAAGTACGTGGCCCTACTAAACCTGCATTTGACAAATTTTCAGATTTGTCTGCTTCTTTTGACGTACTTGGTCGTGCTAAATCTGTATTTTTTGCTTCTTTCGTTTCTTCACACTTTCTTTAATTTTCGCCAAACCTTGAATAATTCAGTAAACCCAAATTCTCCATTCCATTCACCCAAACTTTCTAATGTTTGCCTAAACTTTGTTAAAGCATCTTCAGCTATGAGCCTTTATAAAGCTGCCAAATATTTTTTGACTTCTTGAGGGTTTTATTTGATATTATTAGATTGTTTTAAACATTTTGAAAAATCCATTTCATCTGGAGTCCATGGATATAAGCCACGCCTTTTAGAACCATTCTTCGCAGATGCTGGAGTAACTTTTTGAAACACTTGAAAACCTTTAATACCATGAACATTTATTATATTAAGCAATACAAGCAGACGTTTACCTTAACAAATCAATGAAGCATATAAATAAAATGGCGCGTACTTCTTGGAGCAAAACCTGAAAGAGTAGCGACATCTTTTAGACACTTTTTTAATAATTTATATATTTCTAAAGGACAAACCTTAAGAGATGGCGCATAAGGAAATAGTTTAAGTAGTGGGCTTATTTTTTAATTAATTTAGACAAGAGTGGCAATTACTGGTACAGTGGCGACTACTGGTACATTCACCCTATGCATGAAAATTGTGAACACTTTGAAAAGCTTTTAGGAAATATTTTTTATTTGTATTCATGTTTTAGTAAATACATTTTTTTGAAATTATTAAATTTTTTCGCCATTACCTTTTTAAATAGTAAATGAATTACGCAAACCAAATTTCATATTTGACCCCCTTTTTTCCATTGGCGTAGACATTTTAAATGTGCAATGAGAAAAAGTTTTAGAACCGTTGCTTTAAATCATTAATGGATAAATTATAAACCATTATGATGATTTAAAATTATTGTACAACTATAATATTAATTATTAACATCCAGAAACCCTATTATTCTAATAAATCTCTTATTTTTAAACTCTTTTCAGACCGACATCAATCAGTATCCAAAGCACGGTAGAAAATTCGTTCATCAAAAAATTACAATCGTCCGGAAGGAGTTTGGTCGTCTTCTACGGTAGTCAAACGGGAACCGGCGAAGAATTCGCCGGACGATTGGCGAAAGAGGGCGTCCGTTATAGGATGAAAGGAATGGTGGCCGATCCGGAAGAATGTGATATGGTATTTAATTTTTTATATCTAATTTCGACTGCTTGAAAAATAATTATTATTCCACTTAATTGATTACAATGGAGTGTAAGAGAGGTTAAGGTTGTCGTTATTAGAATTGATTGTGACCGTAAATACTTAGGGTTAGGTAACGTGGCAATGAGAGTTGCCGAAAAATATACCAAACTGATTTTTTCAGGGACGATTAAATTAATAAAAATTAAAAATAAAACAAACTCAAGTTTGTGTTAACTAAATAATAAAAAAATTTAATATAATTTATTGATACATTTCTTCAACCATATTCTACATTTTTATGAAAGATGACAATTGACAATTTGACAGATGGCACAAAGGGGTATTTTAGCGTTACATATTAACAAAAAATACCATGTCTGATGCGGACTTTAATGGTAATACTTTATGTGACGCCTCTCAAACGGTTACAGTAAAAAAATCCTTTTTTTTTGGGGACGTGCAAGAAAGTTTACATTTGAAGAACTCCAAAACTGACTAAAACGGCCACACTTACTTATTTTTAGAGCTTAGCAGGTTCACTATTGTGTATCGATATCTATAGTCAAGCAGGGTTGTCCGCAGTTAGTACTTGAATGTGTAAGTATCTAAGGAAAGTTGGCATACCTATAAAAGCCCAAATACACTGCCCGCGTAGTTGCGTACCACAGTTGGCAGACGCTATATCAATGAGTACGAGCTATAGCGTGAAGTGTGCCATCTTTCGAGCTGGTTAAAAATCCCTGCCTCTGGTTGGAACATTCAGAGAATTCGGCAAAATCTCTAGTTAGAAATGGGCCAACGTTAAATAAATTAATTGTATAATTTTTGATTTCAGGAAGAATTAGTTAACTTAAAGAACATTCCAAACTCTTTAGCCGTATTTTGTCTAGCCACATACGGTGAAGGAGATCCCACAGACAACGCCATGGAATTTTATGAATGGCTGCAAAATGGCGACGCAGATCTTACTGGTTTAAGATATGCCGTGAGTTTCTTGAATAAATATTTTTTATTTTTTTATTTAATTATTTATTTTTTAATGTATTAATTTGTTAATTTTATGTATTTTTTATAGGTATTCGGGTTAGGAAACAAAACTTACGAACATTACAATAAAGTGGCCATTTATGTTGACAAGCGTTTGGAAGAATTAGGTGCTACCAGACTTTACGAACTTGGATGCGGTGACGATGATGCTAAGTAAGTTTTTATTTTTATTATTTGCCCTTTGGTATCAACATTTATTTTCTTCTAATACTCAAATGTTTTACAATATTCCTTCATTTTTCTTCGTCTACAATTTATTTATATTTTTTTAATTATTTTTCTATTGATTCCACTATATTTTTTATAACTATACAAGTTTAATGTTCCACTTTCCTTTTATCACTTTTTTACTGGCTTTTTTGTTTTTATTTGTATTTTTGGTTTTTATGTTCTTTTTTGTTGTTTTTTGCCTTTCTTTTGCGTTTTTCTTCTTTTGTTTTTTTTTGCTTTTCTTTTGCTTTTTTCCTGGTTTTTGCTTTTTTTTTGATAGATTTCATTGCATTATTTTATTTAATTTTCTACTTTTCTTTTGTCACTTTTAATTTTTTGTATTTTTTTGATTTTTTGTTTTATGTTCTTTTATGATGCTTTTTTTGCCTTTTTTTGTTTTTCTTTTGTTTTTTTTTTTGCTTTTCATTTGCTTTTTTCTGGTTTATGCTTTTTGTATTTATAGATTTCATTGCATTATTTTATTCTTTTAGTATCGAAGACGATTTTATCACATGGAAAGATAAATTTTGGCCAGTCGTATGCGAACATTTCGGAATCGAATCAACAGGCGAAGACATCAGCATGAGGCAATATAGATTGGAAGAATTCGACGAAGCACCAGATCGGGTATTTACGGGAGAAATGGCCAGATTACAGTCTCTCAAAAATCAAAGACCGTAAGTATTCAAAATTTTAATCAAATCATTAATTTAACGATGTACTAATATTTTAAAGTCACGTTCAAGTATTGTAAAGTCAAACAGTAGTATTATAAAGTCGAATACTACTGTTATAAAGTCCAGTCCTAACATTATAAAAGTAAAAGTGACATAGAATTATAAAGTCAAAATCACATTCTAGGAATATAATGTGCTAAGATTATAAAGCCCCATTTTAGGTCAATAAATTCACATGTTAAATTGATCAATTCATATTATTGGATTATAAAGTCACATTTTCAGATTATAAAGTTAAAATAGCTTGCTGGGCTATAGCCTTATTCTAAGGTTATAAAGTCGTGATCTTATTTTATATAGTCAAAGAATCACGTACCAGGATTATAAGGTCGAAAGTCATTTACTAAGATATAAAGTCAAATCACATAATGTCACTTTCTAAGATCATAAAGTCACGCTCAAAAGTCACGTACTAGAATTGTAAGCTCATATTGATATTATAAAGTCACATTTTAGAATTATAGAATCAAAAATTCACCTACTAGGGTTATAAAGTCGAAAGTCAAATACTAGGATTATAAAATCATATTTTAGGATTTTCACATTTTAGGATTTTAATGTCAGTTACTAATTATAAAGTAAAAATTACTTGCTTGGTATAAAATAACGTTTTAAATTATATAAATTATAAAATCACGATTTTTATTATAAAGTAAAAAAGTCACGTACTAGGATGATGAGGTTGAAAAAGTGATAAAGTGAAAAAGTTACGAACTAAGATTAATAAGTCACATTTGAGGATCACAGAGTCTATCTTCAGTAATATAAAGTCACATTTTAGGATTATAAAGTCAAAATCACTTGTTAAGTATACAGTCACGTTCTAAGGTTATAAAGTACTAGGATTATAAAGTCAAAAAGTCACGTACTAGGATTATGAAGTCACATTTTAGTATTATAAAGTCACATTATAGGAATAATAGTCACATTTTAGGATTATTATGTCACATTATAGGAATAATAAATCACATTTTAGGATTATTATGTCACATTTTAGGATTATAATGTCATATTTTAGGATTATAGTGTCATATTTTAGAATTATAATATCCCATACTAGGATTATAAAGTCAAAATCACTTTCTAGGTATAGAGTCACGTTTGAAGGTTATAAAGTCACGATGTTAGTTTATAAAGTCAAAAAATCATATACTAGGATTATATAGTTGAAAGTCAAGTACTAAGATTATAAAGTCAAAAAGTCACGTACTAAGATTATAAAATTACATTTTAGGATTATAAAGTCACATTATAGGAATAATAAGTCACATTTTAGGATTATTTTATCTCAGTTTAGAATTACGTCATATTTTAGGATTATAGTGTCATGTTTTAGGATTATAATATCCCATACTAGAATTATAAAGTCACGATCTTTGTTTATAAAGTCACGATCTTAGTTTATAAAGTCAAAAAAGTCATGTACTAGGATTATATAGTCGAAAGTCAAGTATACTAAGATTATAAAGTCAAAAAGTCATTTACCAGGATTATAAAGTCGAAAATCAAATACTAAGATTATAAAATCATATTTTAGGATTATAATTTGAGTTCAAAAGTCATAATAAAATATAAAGTAACAATCTAGGATTAAAAAGTAACATTTTGGGATTATAATGTAACAACTAGGATTATAAAGTCAAAAAGTCACGTGCTAAGATTATAAAGTCGCATTTTTAGGATTATAAAGTCTAATTTTAGTAATATTAAGTCACATCCTAGGATTATAGAGTTACCTTCTATGGTTATAAAGTCACAATCTTTAATAATAAAGTTACGTTTTAACGTTATAAAGTCAAAATATGATTTTAAAAAGTCACCTTGAAAAGTCACAACAGTAGTTGCATCTTATATATTTTTCCAGACCCTTTGATGCCAAAAACCCCTTCCTGTCGAAGATCAAAGTCAACAGGGAGTTGCACAAGAGCGGCGACAGATCCTGCATGCACATCGAATTCGATATCGAAGGATCGAAAATGCGTTACGATGCCGGCGACCATCTTGCCGTCTATCCAATCAACGATATCGAATTGGTTGACAAAGTCGGAAAATATTGTAGCAAGGATCTCAATACGATCTTTACTTTGATCAATACAGACGAAGAATCCAGCAAGAAGCATCCTTTCCCTTGCCCGTGTTCCTACAGGACCGCCTTGTTGCATTATTTGGATATAACTTCCAATCCTAGGTAAACGCACTGATAATTATTTGTTATAATGTAAATACAATGTTGTTAAATAACTTACAGGACACACGTATTGAAAGAATTGTCTGAATACTGTTCAGATCAGACAGAGAAAGATAAACTAAAATTGATGTCCACCGCGACTCCCGAAGGCAAGGCTTTATACCAGAAATGGATAATCGAGGACAACAGGAATATAGTTCATATATTAGAAGATATGCCTTCTTGTCAACCGGCATTAGATCACCTCTGCGAATTACTGCCAAGGCTACAGCCTAGATACTATTCAATTTCTTCATCTCCCAGGCTCTATCCGAACACGGTACATATTACAGGTATGTAATACTAATTTATTTCATATATTATGATACAATTTGATATATTTTAATACAATTCTTTGATTCTAATACATTTTAATACATTTTAATATATTTTAATACATTTTAATACATTTTAATACATTTTAATACATTTTAATACATTTTAATACATTTTAATACATTTTAATACATTTTAATACATTTTAATACATTTTAATACATTTTAATATATTATGATTTTCATATATTTTGATAATTTCGATAATTTTGATATATTTTGATCTCTATTGTGATATAAGTATATTGATATATTTTAATATATTTTCATATTTTTTTTATTATATTTTGATATATTTCGATGTACATACATTTTGATATATTCTGGTACAATGTAATACAATTTTAATTCCAGCCGTGGTTGTCGAGTACGACACGCCGACAGGCCGACACAACAAAGGAGTAGCCACCACGTGGCTGAAAGACAAGATTCCAAACTCGGAAAGCGATTTGCCGGTGGTTCCTATTTTCATTCGCAAATCTCAATTCCGATTACCCACCAAACCACAAACGCCAATCATCATGGTCGGCCCCGGAACGGGATTCGCTCCCTTCAGAGGATTCATACAAGAAAGGTACTTTTACTTTCAAATAAGTTAATACGTTCATTGTTGGAGTCTCTGGATAAAACCGAGTTAACAGGTCCTTTATTCCGAGTTAATATGTCCTTCATTCCGAGTAAACACGTTAATATTGTGATAGCAATATAAAATATAGATTTATCGCCCAGTATTAGAACTTTTGTCTTGACTTTTTTCGAGATATAAAAGTTGCTAGTTGATCTTCTTTATATAAACGATATTTTCGTGATCTTGGTGTATAATTAATACAATAGGTTATGGGCCCAGGTACGGAAGAAGAAAAATGCGTCGTTTGTTGGCGTATCTGGATCAATAAATTTAGCACGTCATTAAGCGTATTTATACTTTCAGGAACGTTTGTAAGGGCGAGGGTAAGCCCGTAGGAGACACCGTTCTGTACTTCGGTTGCAGGAAGAGAAATGAAGACTTTATTTACGAGGAAGAGTTAGTGCAGTACGAGAAAGACGGTTTGGTGACTTTGCATTTAGCTTTCTCAAGAGATCAAGCCAAAAAAGTGTACGTTACACATTTGTTGGAACAGCAAGCAGACGAAGTATGGAAGATAATTGGTGACAACAATGGACACATCTACATTTGCGGGTAAGTTTTTCATTGCCATTTAAAGGTGTTGCGTTAATTATTTATTAATTTTAATTATTATTTTGTCTCATTTGCTGCGGAAGGTGAGTCCGTAGACAGACAATTCGACATACGTAAAATGCAGTAAGTAATTGTTTAAGAGTTTATTAAATCCATATACTTTTATTCGAAACTTGTTTTCGTATCTATAACATAAATTAAAATATTGAACAATTACGCACTAATGGGACACCCTGTATAATACAGTCCAACAATCTGAATGAACTTTTACAAGTTTTTCAATTGAATGTTTAGTTAATCTTGTTGAAATCAAGGATTTTTGCCACACGCTATTCAATTCTTCTATCGTACTATGGCTGGCATTTCTAACAGATGTAGCTTGTTCTTGAGGTTCTAAGTCCTTGATAATATAAATATATATAAATAAACATTGTCCGCGCGACCTGTGGCCTTTTTTTTCTCATTAAGAACGTCTCTCACTACTAGTTTAAACTACTCAATGGAGTGATACTCGTGCGACATTCTTCTGGAACAGATTACCTTTCTACTCGGCGAATACGGCACACTTTTCTGTTCTACATTAAACAACATTGAATCAACTAAACGAGAGAACTCCAACATTTTATGGTACTTTGAGCCGGAGTTTCAAATGTTTGGAGTAGATTACTCCAACAATCTCACCAAGGCTAGACGTTTAAGTCATAACAACTCGTACTAATTTTCAGTTATCAGTTACAATTTTTTTTTAAATGACTTGTAATGGCTTAAATGTTTGTTACGGTTCAAAATTCAAAAGAAATACTAAGATGCTTTTACCATGATAAATAAAATAGTATTAACTTTTAACTTAGATCAAATTCATGATTTTAAATAAAGTCTATTAAAAGAACATTCGGTATACTAGCTTAGATTAGAAGTTTCTTTTAATGATTGAAGGTCCATGCCTCATGTTCTATGTGTTAACTCGAATAAAAATATACCTTAATCATTCTATTGTCCCAATTGTTTGCAAAAGAAGTTTAACCTTTTGTCTGGTATTTCTTCAGTGCTATGTAGATCCCTTCTGGTTTTCTGTATTATATATTCTTCAGTATTTTCTCGAATAGTTTGTAGTTAGGTTCTAGAAGTCTAAAAGAAAATAGAAACGATTTGAATTAGATGAATGAATGGTTTCAGGTTAATTTTCTTTTGTTTATTTACATTTATTCTAACATTATGTCATTCACTTTAGACAGCTGTTTTATAATTTCGAATATTCAACAATTAAAACCCCAAATAATCTGGATATTCTTGGAAGCAGGTGATTATGAAAAATTGTACCAAGATGTTTTAAGTTACCTAACACGATTTAATATCATTTCCTGTGGAGGTCATTTTCTACTATCTTTACTTTTTTAATACACCTTCAAGAAGCATGTGCTTTTAAGGAACTTTTCATAAGGATTCATGTGCTAGAAAATAGGTTAATTGAAAATAAAATTACTTATACCATTTGTTGGCAAATTAAGTAAACTCGAAAGAATAATTGGTTTTCAGTTTAAACAAAGAACTCACATCAAATAACGTGACATTTCAACTTCAGGCCTGTTTTCTTTTTATTTCCGTTCATATTTATTTCTACTTTTATTTGGATTCGTTTAATTTATTTTGAAAACTAAAGATGGAATATTCCTTATTTTGGAGGTAGAAGAACCTTCTTTTGGGATACATCTAGGCTCCAGTTACCATTTAGACTGCTAGAGGTAATGTTAACCATAGGGGATACCTAAAAATAATCAGAAGATGATATTTTTATCTTCGAGTAGGACGTAGACTTACCATTGGGACCGATAGGCTGTTTGGACACGAAACCATCCTGAAGGAGTCTCTGATACCAGCCCCTGGCATATTTATATTGTAATATCATCATCTCCATGGTAAACTATTTTAACTTATTAGAATCACTGCAGCTACTGCTGATCAAAGAACTGAACATATTCCCACCCTCAGTGCTCAGGGGTGTCCTGTAAAAAAAATTGTACATATTTTTTTATAACCGAACAATCTAACCTATGATAGATATCTATTTAAGCGGTACGCAAGCTGTAGACTTTAATACTTACCATTTTGTTTAAAAGAAACTATTGAAATATACATTTTCCTGAGAACTACGCTTATTTATAAATTTTTTTGACTATAAACCTGAAATAATTGTGAATCTACCAACCATTTCTTTTATTTCATTAGAACTGAGCTACTATTTGAAACCATTCTATTTTTAAAAGTTAGATAAGCATCCCCAAAGGGTTATTTTACATTAACACCTTTATTTTGCTCACGTAGGTCGTGGCATGTTGGTTTATACAGGCCACCCTATGCAATGACTCCATATTGTATAGATTCAACTAAACTCTTATATAATGTTATTAGTACAGGGCGGAATATATGCATCAAAATATAACAAAATATGCGCATATATATGCATCGCTTTTGCCAAAAATATGCAGTTATTTTGTCCAATTATGCCTAAATATGCAAATGCATATTTGTTAAAAATACTTAAAAAAAAGTAGGGGGTGGGTAGCTCAGTGGTTAGTGCGTTGGCCTGTGGACTTAGGGGTCCCGGGTTCAAACTCTAGCCGGGACGCGATTTTTTAAATTAATTAATTTATTTAAAAATTAATTCTGATGCCTAGCGAATATTTCCACTTGACCATTCACTGTTGGGTTCTAATTAACATTGCTGTTCCTAATTTGGTACGCTATCAAAGCCATTACACGAAAAAAAAAACCAAAGAAAATATGTAATATAAAAATTTATTTAAAACAAACGAAACACAAAAACTAGTAGAAGTTAAGTATAGAATAGTATAAAAATATTAATTAGTAATATTATAATAGGAATTTATAATTAAATATTTTTCGAAATTTTCTATTAAAAATTTTTGTCTTCTGTCTGTCAAAATATGTTTTGATATAGAAAAGGTCCTTTCAACATCTACCGAAGTAATAGGACAATACCGTAATTTTGGAAAATTTTCCCTCAAAAATGTTTTTCACTTCCCTTATTTCATTGAACCCTTCATTCTTTAATAAAGTTGTATTTAATTTGTTTCTAATCTTAAGGCCTATGTCACCAGGAACATTGTTACATTTATCGGAAACTGTTGCAATAAAATTTGTTGATTCGATTAAACTTAAATTTTTCTTTTCCAATGAAGTTATTACATCAGGTAAAAAACTAAAATTAACCTTTATAAACACAAGTTGCTTAGGCACAAGGGGATTTTTTAACAATTCTTTACTTTGCACTACACATTGTGAATTGTCTTCTATATCCAAAATTAAATCATTAATTGCTTCAAAATTTTCTGCATAGAATATAGCTGCTTTAATCCATGTCCCCCATCGCGTAATTACGGGTTCCGGGGGCAAACACACCCCTACCATTCTCTCTTTATACAACTGCACTCTTAAAGGGGCTTTTAAAAATATTTTTTTCACATTCGAAATTAGCTTGTTAACTAAGGGATATTCTGTTCTCACAGTTTCTGCAACTAAGTTTATTCCATGCAGAAGACAAGTAACGTGGACCATATTTGGATAAAATATTTTTAAGTTTTGCCCTACTTTTATCATATATGGTGCTGCGTCAGACAAAAACACTAAGAACTTCTCTGAGGGAATTTGATTTGGTAAAAAAAATTCTGCTAGAGATGTTGAATAAATCGGGTAACAGTTGTATTGTTAGTTTTTTCTAACTGTTTTGATGCAATTAAATATGATGTACCTGGTTCATTTTCTTTTAAGGCTCCAATCATAAGATGTACCATGTTTTCACGTGTTGAACCACTTTGAACTTTTTTTCGCAAACCACTATTTTGGCACAAGCTTTACAAAAAACTTTATCCCCATTGATTTCCAACTCTGCAAAGTTAATAATCCACGAAGAAATTCTCGACATTTTAGGACACTTTTAAAACAACAAGTTATTACAAGACTTTTCACTAGGCAAATAACGAGGATACTATCTCATTAAATTGAATGAAAAACATTCAAAATATTCCGATGTTAGGGTAGATTGGTTACAAGAAATTACTGAGAATTTTATATAAACCGTTTTATTGCATTGTAGATAATACTTTATCTGTGTAAATACCATCTATTAACAATTACCTTAATGGGCTTAATCTCTTAAGAAGGTAAAAACCCAGTGCATGCCACCCTCCAAGAACTAATTAACAAGAATTTACAAGAAGTGATACTTAAAAACAAATACAAAAATTTAAAAGGTCTTTATTTCAAATATATCTGTATAATCTGTTAAAACAGTTTTTGATTTGCACAGTATAGTAATACATTTTTTTTTTCGAAAATATGCAATATTTTCTTAAATTTTCTGAACTTTGGTAAAATATGCAATATTTTCTGAATTTTGGAAAAATATGCAATATTTTCTGAACTTTGGTAAAATATGCAAAAAATGCATATATATGCATTTTGCATATATTCCGCTCTCTAGTTATTAGTAATTTTCTATTAAGAAACACTGACTTAAAAGATAAAATTTATGTTATGTTGGGATTTCATTTTAAATGTTGTCCTTTTGTGTTTTCAGTGATGCGAAATCCATGGCACTTGACGTCCGTTCGATCCTGACGAAAATCTTACAAGAAAAAGGCCAGATGACCGAAGAACAAGCCACTGCCTATCTGAAGAAAATGGAAACGCAGAAACGTCTATCAGCCGACGTGTGGAGTTAATAACATTCCTCGAACTAGCCAATTTTATTACGAAAACAACAACAAACATTATTTTTTTATTGTTAAATTGAGAAAGAAATTTAGAGTGTTAATTAGGTGGACCAAAAGAGACAGTTTATTTTTACGTTGATGTTATTTATTTTTTATTAAAAAAAAAAAAAAATTAAAAATATGCTTGAAGCTATTATTATACGAGATGCGATACGTTTCTGTATAAACAAAATAAATATTTATAGATTTTAGTGTTATTTTTAAAAGAAAGGTCATTTGTCTTTTTTGTATACTTTTTAATCATGTTTAGCTGATTTATTGGTGCCTACAATGTACATATTGATTATAAAATAACATAGAAAAGCGGGGAATTTCATTTTCAAACCATCTTCCTACATCGTAAATCCCACCCAATCAATAATATAACGGGTGATAATTATTAAGCGATTTAGATGAAATTTGAGATAAACCTACCAAACATTTCGAATTGGCTCTTATAATTAAATAAAATGGTTAACTTACGGTTTTACCGGAAATGCCGTTATGTTTGACTTTTTAAATGGACTACATTGTATAATTTGTTTTTTTTTTTTGGTATCTACTTAATTACATATAACAGCGTTGCCAAATTTTAATTTTTACTAAACAAATAGCGAATTTTATTACCAATCTGACAATATGCACCATTTAGAACATTATTTTTCAAGGGTATCTGGTTACAATTAAAATTTGACAACATTGTAATATGTAATTTAAACAACAAAATATACAAGGTGCTATATTTAACACGTTGACTACCTCGGTAACTTTCAGGATTCTGGTCTAAAAATACAATTTAATTTAAAGATATTAGCTTTGTCCCAACATCTCACAAAACCGTAATATTACGGTCATCGTCATGCGCAGTAAATAAAAATCTATCAATAAAGCCCAAAGTCGAACGGTTTTTATTTACTGCGCATGACGATGACCGTAATATTACGGTTTTGTGAGAAGTTGGGACAAAGCTATAGTAACTAATTATCAAACAAATATTAAAAATTTAAAAAAACCGACTTCAAAAACGTACAGATGCCATCACAACATCTTAACCAAATTTATATGGGACCACCCTTGAGGTACCCCCTTACTAACAAAAAATAATCATAAATCGGACAAGGTGGTAAAGCATTATCGCTAAACATACATAAAAAATGAAGAGTTTGAGGATTTTCTCATGGATTCAATTGTTAGATTTTGACCAAATTTATATGGGACCACCCCCGAAGTACCCCCTTTCTAACAAAAAAAGAATCATTGAAATCGGACACTGTGTTAAAGAATTATCGCTGAACATACATAAAAAAAAATATTGCGACGAATTGAGAACCTCCGCCATTTTTGAAGTCTGTTAAAAAATAGAAAAAGTGTTTTAAGATCTTGCGAATTATTTTGTAGATGGAATATGTAACAGGAAGCTCTTCGCAGAAGCCAATTTTAAGTTAATTTTTACATACGTCTTAATTCGTTAGCAGTAAGTAAACAATAAAAATAATAATTTTCTGTTTTCTATTCATTAGTTTTTCTCTCTCTTCCTATTTACACTGATGTACTATGAATTGAAGCGTAGCTGCACGAATTGAATCGTAGTTGGCAGGCAACGTGTTAAAAAATCAAACCTAATGGCATTTCTGGTGGAATCATAAAGGTGCGAATCCACAATGAGAATATCTCATAAAATAAAAATTGCAGAATAACTTTAATTTCATTGAGAAAACAGATGTGAAATACATGATATACTAGAGATAATCTCGTAAAACAATGTGTCCATGAGAGTTTTTTTCTTGTGCAAGTTTCAACGTGTAAACATGAGTTGTGCAAGTGAAAAAAAAAAAAGATTTTATGAAAACATATCTGAGATAAATGTCTCATGAAACAGACATCTCACGAGATTTTAGTCTCTTTGTGTACACCTACCTTTAGTAAACCATTTTGATTAAGTATAAATATCGATTCGAAATTATGTCTAGTATGTTTTTTCCAAATTTGATCCAATTAGCTCCATAAATAAAAGATATATTAACGTGGGCCTGCCCTCATTGTCACCGGGTATGCTTATATGGGAGTGAGACACAACCACCACTGCGCGGCCGCAGCTATCATAGAGGACGCCGAAATGATATTATAAATGATTTATCGCGAAATAATCAAATTCCTGTAGAGGTAGGTTTGTTAAACATTTGCAGATGGTTTTGCGTTTGTTTCTGTTGTTTGCCTCAGCTTTTGAAAGACTTTTTATAGGCAATACATTCCTATTTTCTCTTCCATAAACTAATTAATAGTAATACTATTGTTAGGAAGCTGATTTTTCAAAACACTGGGATTCTAAATTTTTAAAATCTTGATTGAAATGCGCGAGAACATTCATCAGTCGTTGGGCTAAATATCACTAATTTTTAAATAAACGTTTGGATGTACTTTGATTTTGTGATTTATTTATTACATAGGCAGTAAATCTAAAGTGAGTTCCTCGTGTACTAATTTTAAATGGATGACCTAAAAAAGAGTATCACCCAAATATGTTTCGGCCCGTGTAACCTAGTAAACTTATACCTCGGGCCAGCAGACCAAAGCACATAAGTCAAAAATGACTACATGAAGAACAAAAAATCAAGTAAATTGATAGAAACTGATTATTATATATATTTTATTTCAGAAAATGGAGTTACAACCATTAACTTAAAAGTAAATTGAAGTAACATCCTAAAATTAATTATTTTTGTATTTGAATGACGTATTAGGGTCGTTCAACGTATTGAACTTATTTACTTAGTTACCTACTCTATCAATGTACACGCAAGGCCGCCGAGCCCTAGGACAATTCTCTAGATCGGGCCCCGTGACAACAAAAATCTTCAAACAAAAACTTTTCCTTTTCTATCTAAATTGAATTTTCTAAAAAAAAGGTCCTCAACCCAAAAAAACTTGAATTACGTCTTCTAAAAAAAAGATCCTCAACTCACTTTTCCTCTACTTACATTAAACTTCCCTCTCTCGTCTTGTGTCGAATTTCTCATACAGAACAAAAAAAAAATTGTAGGGCCCCCCTTATAGCGCTGCCGGGCCTCCATTTGAGTCCGGGCCCCGGGAATTAGTCCCGGCTACCCCCCTCTAGTCGGCCCTGTGTACACGAAACGCATGATAAATAACCCAGCAAACATTTTGTGCAGGGTGATAAAAGGCCCAATAACTGTTACCCTCCAGTTGTAATGATGGCCATTTAACTTTTATAATTAAAAGGCCGGTATATATAGGTCACTACGGCCGACAGTCGGGCCGAAGTCACTTAGCCTTTAAATCCAGTTTCCCTTTAATGTCTAGAAATAAATATATTGGCAATTAATGGCCTATTAATGGGAAATTGCTGGCCTTTTATCGTATTAATACTGACTGCTGAATAAAGGCCATGTGTCAGACACATGACCAGACAGGATATTCGATAGTGCCTCTTTGATCAGTAGTACCGTTTGAACTATAAATTCTATACACAAACAGAAGGCATTTCAATTTAGAATGTTGTGGACATTTTATTTACTTCAGCCATATAATATAATAATACAGAAAAATTTTCTCTTCTAAATTAACATGTAAAAATAAAAATTAAAAAGAATACTGAAAAGTGAATATCAGCAATACCGAGACTGGTGTCATAGTACGTGTCCACTTGGTGAGTATGTAACAAGCGATCATCGGTGTTTCCATCATGAACGCGGGACGGAGTTAAGTCTGCGGCACTTAAAAGCCTTTTGAATTTTACCATGCTTTTACAGTTACTTACCCTTTATAAGGCCATCATCAAGTAACATAATGCTGGGCCACTATCTAAAGGCCAAAAGTCGGTTTTTATCTTTTAATCGACGCATTTATTTTCCCTTCAAATACAGCGGAAGGCCAGTAATATCCCGACAGTTTATTGTTTGTTGGGAAATATCTAATTTTAAAATTTTCTTATACTAAATAATTAGGTCTTGAATATTCAAATGCGGTTTGAACAATTAACATTTATTTAAGCATAATTTCCATAACAACAAATACAGAAAATACTATTAGCTATTACCTACTATTATCTAAGAAAAAAGTATTGTAATGACCAGTAGGGACGCATATACGTGGGTAATAGGGGTAATTACACCCCAGCTGTCTTTATAGTTTTATTACCATTAAACCCCCCAGACATATACTCTCGATGCGCCACTGCAGTTCCAAGAAACACCTGACCTTGTCTTTGAAGAATTTATGGGTGCATATGGAGGTGCTGGAAAAGCTAGATATGGTGTTACAACCTTTACAACAAGCTCTGCTCACGGTTCCTAAAGACTACTCGCTGGTCCATAGTACCTCCGCCAGCATCAACGACGCTTGAGATCTGGCGTCTGCGTTCCGGAAGAAGTTTGGTCGATTGCCAGAATTTCAAGGTCTGTTAACCAACTACTGGAAAAGCCTTGAAACCTTTTCTATTTGGCAACAAAAAACACCTTCCAAGATTGATCCACTTATCATGATGTATGGCTGTGTTACTCAAAGTGTGCTTCGCGGAGTCATAATAAAAAAAAGAAGCAGTACTTGGCCACAAAAAAGAGGGACCTGGCTTGAACCCCTTTTTTTTAAGAAGTCCAATGCGTGAAGGAAGGATTTCAAGATTTTTCTAGCCAGTATTGGCATTTTTCTAGACTGTTACATTTTTGTATATAGGGTGTTTTAGAATAAAGTATCGTAAACAGGTAGGGACTAATTTATAAAAAAGCTAAATATAATTTTCCTGTAATTGTCCCAGTTTTCATTCTACAGTGTGAAAAAGTGAATGACATAAATACATAATTTTCTATCTTCTCTTATAGTAGAGATTTTAACTTAAAAATACGTATATGTTAATTAATCGTCATTATTAGTTAACACTCTATTTCGATAAATCACGATAATCCATTAGCGTGGAATCAAGGGTTAAGAAAACAATTTTAATCCAAACTTTTTGAACACCCTATATTTCATAAAAGTTTAAATGAATAATTAATCCTCAGTGTGGTAACCGCAAATAAAATTATTTTGTGTTAGCACATTGTTAATAAGATTAAATAGAAACTTTGAGCATTCCAATAAATTCTTCTTCGAACGTAATCCAGTGATCTTTAATTGGGCGTAAGTTCACAATTTAATAAAATGATGTGGAGCTATTTTCTCAGTCTTATTTTCTACAATGATTTTTCTGTTCATAAGACTGCATGATGATTGGGTTGCATACATTCGGGCGTAGTTTGAGGATTATGATATAATTTTGTAATAATGACTACCAAAGCTATGTAATTCATTGTAATTTTGTAGAAACGTAAGATTCAAAAAGAATATTTTAGTTACCACTCACAATATCCTATATTTTTTTTATTTATATCAGATTTTTATATAATTCGATTCGGAACACGACCCAAGATGTCCAACCGTTGGCTACACTGATTAAGTTGGTAACCTGATATACTTTCATTTCCGTCGATTCGTAACTTTTTTGAGGTTAACTTCCTTTTAGTGTATGCCTCGTGAAAATGGCACCTACGAAACCAAAATCAGCGGATAAATCCGGTTAGTTTTTATTTTATAAATCATTTTTAATTGTTTCAATATCGATTTAATTAATTTATGATCCAATTATGACAATTACAAAAAGTTTTTCTTCAAGATTTATTTACTTTTGGAATATTTTGACCACGCGTCAATACTCACGTTTCTTTCTAAAATATTTTGTTATGAATCTAGAAATGCCAGTTTAAACTTTTGGAAACAAGACAAAATAATCCAAAATAAATGTAAGTAGATATTAATTTAATTCGTTTTAACTTTTAGCTGCCAAAAAAGAAGAGAAAAAGAAACCAGCTTCAGCACCTGCTGGCGGTGCTGCTGGTGCCTCTAGTACTTCTAAAACCCCCGCATCAGCCCCCAAAGCTGCTGCTAAAGCGGCAAGCAAACCTGCTGAAAAGAAATCGTCGTCTGCAAAAGCACCAGCCCCTGCCCCCAAAGCAGCCTCGTCTAAAACGACTAGTGCTGCAAAGACAGCGACCGCTCCCAAACCTAAAACTGCCGCCAAAACAGCAGCGAAGACTGCTAGCAAAGCTGCAGCCAAAACTCAAGCTAAAGCTGCATCTAAGAAAGCTAGTGAGAAGGCCGCAGCTGGCAAAGCTAAGAGTTCTGCAGTCCTTATAACTAAGCCCAAGAAGAATGTTCCTGTTAAGCAACAAAAGGGCGTTGGAAAGAAACCTGCCGCTGGTGCTGCACAGGTTGCGAAAGCTTTGAAAATTCAAAAGAAAGTGAGTACCAATAATATATTTAAAAATACTTGAGTTAGATGTTTTTTATAATGTTGAACCTGTTTATAGTAATGTTGTTTCATCTTTATATTTTTCAAAATGTGTCATAGAAATACTCCAAAAAATCTACAGATAATAAGAGTGTGTCATATACAAAAAAGTTTAAAGGTTTTTGGCAATACTATGAATATAATCTCAAATCAAAACACATAAAGTATCTACCATATTTACACATTAATAACAAAAGTACATCATCATCGCCAAAATGACCAACCTATCTAATTTATGGTCTCAAAAGGGTTTATGCTATAACTTTTGAACAGTTTGAAATAGAGATATCCAGGCATATTCTTGTAGCACATGAAATTCTCTAAAAAAATACTCTGGAGTTGATTTTTTGCCTCAAAAACTCATCTACTTACGGGCTATGAAAGTTGATGAAAAATAACATGTTTAGTAAACATGTCTGTTTTTCATCACATCTACTTAGGGCTGGTATTTTCTGCCATGATTAAGCATTATTGAATACTTTACTACGATTATATTATCTATAATTTGGGGGTTTACTAAACAGATGTTTTCAGTAGAGCTAAAATATTAACTCATTAACTTATAATCTCTAAATTTATGTATTAAATGAGGTGACATTTCTGAGTTCTAGGGGTAACTCATTAAAAATCCCTTAAAAAATATTGAATATTGGCACTGTTTATTTGCAACTTGAGAATTATGAAAATTATATCTATTTCTTGTGTTATAGTTATGATAGTCAAAGTTGTAATTGATTTTAAACCAACTTCAAAAAAGGAGGAAGTTCTCAATTTGTCTATATATTTAATGATTCTTTTTTTGTTAGAAAGGGGATACTTCAGGGGTAGGTCCCATATAAATTTGGTCAACATTTAATAATTGGGTCCATGAGAAAATCCTCAAACTCTTTATTTTTTTTGTATGTTTAGAGATAATTCTTTTCCACCTTGTCTGATTTCTATGATTCTTTTTTTGTTAGTAAGGGGGTACCGGAGGTGTGGTCCTATATAAATTTGGTCAAAATCTAAAAATTGGGTCCATGAGAAAATCCTCAAAATCTTCATTTTTTATGTATGTTCAGTGATAATTCTTTTACACAGTGTCCGATTTTAATGATTCTTTTTTTGTTAGAAAGGGGATACTTCAGGGGTAGGTCCCATATAAATTGGGTCAACATTTAATAATTTGGTCCATGAGAAAATCCTCAAACTCTTTATTTTTTATGTATGTTTAGAGATAATTCTTTACCATCTTGTCTGATGTCTATGATTCTTTTTTGTTAGTAAGGGGATGCCTCAGGGGTGGTTCCATATAAATTTGGTCAAAATCTTATAATTGGGTCCATGAGAAAATCCTCAAACTCTTTATTTTTTATGTATTTTTAGAGATAATTCTTTACCACCTTGTCTGATGTCTATGATTCTTTTTTTGTTAGTAAAGGGGTACCTCAGGGGTGGTTCCATATAAATTTGGTTAAAATCTAATAATTGGGTCCATGAGAAAATCTTCAAACTGTTATATAAAAGAATCATTGACTATTTATTAAGATATTTTGAGCACCGGTAAAACAAATGGGGGATTTTTTTTATGAATATCCTGAGTATTTGTTCTTGGTACCAATAAACATTTCCATTCTATTTGTAATGTTTTCTTACAGGTAATCAAAGGACCAAATGGCACACACAGTCGTAAAATCCGTACTTCGGTGCACTTCCACCGTCCAAGGACCTTAAGACCGCCCAGGAGTCCTAAGTACCCGAGGAAGAGCGTGCCCCACAGGAGTAGAATGGACGCTTACAATATCATTAAATTCCCATTGACGACTGAAGCGGCCATGAAGAAAATTGAAGATAACAACACTTTAGTATTCTTGGTACACACTAGGGCGAATAAGCACCACATCAAGGCGGCAGTAAAGAAGCTGTATGACATAAATGTAGCCAAAGTTAATACATTAATCAGGCCCGATGGTAAGAAGAAGGCCTATGTCAGATTAGCGAGGGATTACGACGCTTTAGATGTTGCAAATAAGATTGGTATTATATAAGATGCCTGTTTGTTTTTTTGACATATTAATAAATAATGAGTTTGGAAGAAATTTTATTTGGTGTTTTATTTTGATCCTTTTGTCTCTACATGTCTTAAACAGGGCCACCGAAAGCCATGGTGGGATCCCTGGGGGCATTTTATAAAAAATCTGATGTGTCCAACACATGACTTTCCTATCTGGTTATTATAGGCCTTTTCCGGTTATTTTGTACAACCTATTGCAAAACCTCTATAAATGTTTAAGAGGATAAACTAAATATATACATTTTCCACATACATCTACCTAGAAACATTTTTCTATATACAGGGTGTCCCGAAATTAGACGGTCATATTTTAACAGCGTAATCTACATCCTAAAATAGTAAAAGTTCATATAAACATAGATCTGAAAACGTTTCTTTTCCGAGATACAGGGTGTTAAAAGTGAAGTCCTGATGACACACTTGTAAGTATTTTCTAAACGTTTAAAGATTACTAAGTGAAATTTGGTAGAAATGGTTAACTTTTTACGCTCTATTTAATGGACTAAACCCCAGTTTTTGATCATCTTCATAGGTGAGTAAATTAGGGGGGGCTTAGGGTAAAATTGCCCAAAGTTTTTATTTGTTGACAGTTTGTAACATTTTTGACTATAAAATTTGGAAGACCAATATTTTCTTTATAATAAATGCTACTATTGTTGCATCTCGCTAGGAAGCACCATTTTCAAGAGAAAAGTATTTGAAAATTTCATGATAAGTTATCCGAAAGTGTAAACAATAATTAGTATGCCTGTGAAATCAAAAATTTTATTTTTTTTTACTTTGGAAAACCGGTGACTAAAGAAAATTTTAGAAAAATGTGCCATCACGACTTCACTTGTAACACCCTGTATCTCGGAAAAGAAACGTTTTCGGATCTATGTTTATATGAACTTTTACTCCTATTTTAGGATGTAGATTACGCTGTTAAAATATGACCGTCTAATTTCGGGACACCCTGTATATTCATTGAAAACGAAAATACTGAAAAATTTAAATTTAGCACTCTTCCTCCAATTTTTCCATTACGGTCCATTTTAGAAAAACCATGTATAAACAAAAATTATAGAGATCGATATCGCAAACAACTTTTAGTTCAACAATTTTCATAAAAATCAGAATTTTGCACATTTTGTCAAATTTCAGGAAATTTTGACATGGAACAAAAATTATAGATAATAATATTAGAAGTAACTTTTATTTGAATAATTTTCTTCTCCAAACATAAATAACAGATATATTCCATAAAATATAAAAACGGCCTCCCATAAAGTACCCCCCCAGATGTTCCGACTTTGTCCAAAATCTAATCATTTCACGTCAGGCCGAAATAAACCTTAAGTTTAAAATTTATTTTTTTTTCTTTATCCGTTTTTGAGTTTTCTTCAAAATTCGAAATTTACACATTTTCTCAAATATCTCGAATACGGTCCATTTTAGAGAAATTAGGTATAGAGTAAAAATTATAGAGAATTTTATTAAAAACAACTTTTATTTGAACAATTTTTATAAAAAATAATTTTTTTTACATTTTGTCAAATTTTTCGAATACGGACCATTTTAGGAAAATTTTGTATAAAACAAAAATTATAGATAATAATATTAGAAGTAACTTTTATTTGAAGAATTTTCTTCTCCAAACGTAAATAACAGATATATTCCATAAAATATAAAAATTACCACCCATAAAGTAACCCCCCAGATGTTCCGACTCTGCCCAAAATCTAATCATTTCATTGGACGATGGAATAAAGCTTAAGTTTAAAATTTGGTGTTTTTCTGTGTATCGGTTCATGAGTTAGGTATGGTGGATACAGATACACACACAGACATCATCGCGAAAGTAGTCAAAACGGATTTAGGGGACCTCAAAACGTAAAAATCCGTCGAAAACTCGAGGTCGAAAAAAATTATGATTCCTATACTTTCCATATATCTGTATACAGATAGGAAAGTAAAAATTAAGTCCTTTCTATGAAGTCAATTTGTCTAAAATGTGGACATAAAATGGCGAAAACGGTATATATTTAATGGAGGCGCCATTTATAATGGCATTGTCAAAACAAGACCCAGATAGTAGTAGATTTCTGTATAAATGTGACAGAAGCGCTCTCTATCGATGATTTTCAAAACGATGAAAGTAGATTTCTGTTTTTATTCAAAGCAAGATGGACAGAAAATGGTAAAGAAAATATATCTTTGTGTAATGGAGATTTTGGATTAGTCAGGTGACAAAAGGATTTTTTTTAAATTAAATTATTTTAAACTCGAATAAGGCTCTATTCTGTAACACATCCACTTTTAGCGGTTCATTAATTTTTGTAACCAAAAATGGTATTCTATATACACAAATTTTAGAGACTTGTTAACACGTTCGCTGCCGTGTGTATCATTTACGGTAGTGACCGATGAACTGTGACACGGTTAATATAGGTCACGCATAGTTCACGGTTTAACGAGTATTTGCAATATTCGTTATTTTTTTGATAACTTTCTGTTAACAAGTTATTGGGTCAATAACCTAAATTGTTTTTTTTTGTTGTGTTCTACGATATTATAAATAAACTTCAACGTTTATTTTTTTGTTTGATTGGGTAACCTTCTTCTTCTACGAATCCCCCTGAAGATTAGCATATCTCGGCGCTCTACAGCGATGTATTAATTTGAATACACCGCCCATAAGAAATACATTAGCTTAGGGTTTCTGTGACCTGGCACCATAGAGAGCAACTTAAAGTTTTGTCCTGGGAGGGTGTTATGAGGACCAATGTGTGGGTATAAAATAAAATACATATAACCTTGAAGTAATGTGTTTATTTAAGCAAAGGAAAGTGCTTAAAAATAAAAACTAAAGCTACAAAATACTAAATTTAAAAACTAATGGCAACTGTTGAAACATTCCCTGCAAAAAATGGATTGCCGTCGCAGTGATCGCAGACGGTTTTTACCTGTGCTGCCAGCCTTTTTTTGCCATCTACCATCTTACCGTGCTTCACAAATTTTTTATAGCATTCGTTGCACCGCCAGGGCCGCTGAGAGCCAGGCCGGGCCCCAGGACAATTCTCTAGATCGGGCCCCGTGAAACAAAAAACTATTCTCCCTATTTCAATTACTTCTTCTAAAAAAAAAAGTTCCTCACATCAAAAAGCTATTCTCCCTTCCTCAATTGGTTCTCCTTCTAAAAAAAAAGTCTTCACATCAAAAAGCTATTCTCCCTACGTCAATTGCTTCTCCTTCTAAAAAAATAGTAACTTCCCACTCTCATCTTGTGTCGAATTTCTCATGCAGAACAGAAAATGCTGTTGTCGGGCCCCCCTTACAGCGCTACCGGGCCCTCATTTAAGCCCGGGCCCCGGGAATTAGTCCCGGCTACCCCCCCTCTCTAGTCGGCCCTGTGCACCGCCAGTGTTGCCAGGCCCTGTCAACCGAAAATCGGTAAAATTATCGAGAAAAATCGGTAGATCTCAGCAAAAAACGGTAGATTTAAAAAATCCAACGAAATTTGTAGAAAACAAAGTTTTTAATACTAAAAAGTAACAAAAAAATCTAAAACACACATTAACTAACATTTTTAAAAAAGAAAAATCGTAGAAAATAAAAAACAAAACCCATTATATAATTAATATTTTTAAAAGAAAAAACTTAAATAATAAGGGACAATTTTTTACAAAATTTTAATATTAGAAAACTCTATAACTGCAAACTGTAAAACTATCGAATTAGGAATTATCTTTAACTTTCTAAAATTCCCCAAATTATAACTTCGTTGCTTGTAATTCCCCGATTCCCGATTACTAGTGTATGTTCAGAGTACGGTAAAGAATGAAGAATGGTGGAAAGTCTATAGTTTGTTTTACTTTTAATGCATATTTTAATAAGTGATATTTAACAAATATTTAAAAGTTATGGACTTTTCACAATTTTTTATAGTATTTAAAAGCTAATTATTTCAGGAACTTGTGTTAAGATTTAAAAATGTACTATTGATGAGGTGACGCAAATTTGCAATCGTGCTTATTCGAAAAGACGTTTTATTAAACTCATCGTGTTACGTATTTGTTGACACTAAGATATGGAAATTTAAAGTGACGTCTTGTATAACCTAAGAAAAAAGTTGAGTTGGGTCTTAAGAAAGTTTGTAAAACGCAATGTTAAGTGAATGTTTGTATAATATAATCAAAGATTATTTGAAAAATCGGTAGATTGCCTAAAAAATCGGTATATCGGTAGATTTGTATAGATTAATATCAAAATCGGTAGATCTACCGATTAATCGGTAGCAATGGCATCACTGGCACCGACCTCTTTTATTCTGGCCATGTTGAACCAGTTGATGGATTTTCTCTTGGCTTCTATTTCAACTCTTTGATCAGAATTGAAAAGAGATTGTATAACACTCTCTCTAAACTGCGTTATTGTCAATTTCGGAGAATGTACCGAATTTTCGCAGTAGAGAAAGTGAGCATTCACAAACTGGTTTCCCACAAAATTTCGATCATTAGTTTTCTATTCCACTTTATTGACCTACGTAGAGATTTTCCGGCATCGTAGTCTACAACGCATACATGTTCCACAGTTTCTCTTCCAGTATATTTGATATAACAGCACAGCTTATACAATATACAGCTCCACAACTCCGTGTCGGCGTCTTTGATCTGGCGGTCGAGAACCAAGCAAGACGGAATGGTGCTATCTCTGTTAGATTCGAGGGAAAAGTCGGGCCCGGATTAAACAATTTTTCTATTATTGAAAAAATTGAAAACCTTGGCGTAATAAGGTTGGTTACATGCCATATTAAGTAAGTTTTGGGAAATTAAATTTTTAATTTGTTTTAAATCTGTCAAATATAATTAGAAACATTATTTAAATATAAATATTACGAAAAATAGCACATCTTTCGGATTAGAGGTAAAATAATTTGTATGTGGCTAGTAAAATCCTCGTTAACAAATGTTTTGAGCTAAAACAGTCACTTCACGACAAATTGTGGCTTGGATCCTTTTTACACCAAGGGCTTCAATTGTTAAA